AGCTGCTCATGCATTTGGGGGGGGGGGAGGCAGAAATCTGTCTTTCTGCCATTCAGTTTGCTGGAAATATGAGATGGTTTGGAACAATGGCTGTCATTGGTGGGTAATTTCCTTCCAGCTCTAGAATAAGGACAAAAGCTATCATCAACATTGTGGTTTTGTTTGTTCTTGTTTATTCTGCAGACTGAGGAAAGGAGGAAAATAGATGAGCTGATTACAAGTGGGAAGGAAGAAGGAATGAAGGTAACTACAGTGCCATCCTAAGTAGTCATGTAATGTTTATTATACAGCATCTTGATTTTAATCTATTTAAACAGAGAACAGCAGAACTCAGTCTCAGGACCCAGCAATTCTCTGATGAAAATGCAGGAAAACTGGAACACACAGTCCTTCCTTTTGAGTGAGCAATGTTGGTCTCTGAAGGATGTGTATGTGCAGCCTCACTTATAAATACTGAGGCAGCTTTAAGGTCTTTACAGAACTGCACTCCCTTGATTGGAAGACTTTGTGTCCAGCTACCCAGTAACTCAGACTGTGTCCCAAACTCATCCTGCATTTCTTCCACAGTGCCATGCATTGTGCTTCTACAGCTTTGCCTGCAGTACACACAAATTCCCTTTTGCAGCATTTTTCTAATGACAAATCATTTCCTAGTAATCAACCTATCTGCAATGATGTAAATCAGCTGAGAAATGAGAAAGTATTTTCTTTTCACCTCAACAGATTGATTACATCGATGGCAAAGGGAGAGGAGTAATTGCTACTAAACATTTTAATCGAGGAGAATTTGTGGTTGAATATCACGGGGATCTCATTGAGATCACTGATGCCAAGAAACGAGAGGCTGTGTATGCTCAAGACCCATCCACAGGCTGCTACATGTACTATTTCCAGTACCTCAGCAAAACCTACTGGTAAGCTCAAGTTTCCAGTGATAGAGGCTTTGAATGCTGCTAATTCTTTTCTTGTTTTCATGCAAATTTTTTGTTTTTAATGGGAACTGTGAATTATGAAATCTTTTGGAGCACTGATCTGTGGTCTGAGAGCCTCCTATACAGCTGGGCTGTGAGGAATGGTAGGTGACTCAAAGCCCTGTTCTTTGAAGTACAACACAAGCTATGTGGAGAGTTGCATCTTCTTGGATGCCTTGTAGTTCTGCAGTGGTCTTCTGCCTAAATTTATCCTCTTGTAAAATGAACTCCTTTGTCTGAATTGCGAGGAGTTGGTTTGGAAAGCTGGATGGACAGACTCCCTGGAAAAGAAACATTTCTTTCAACTTTTGACTGGGTGTCCTTGTTTCTCCAGTCTCACCCACTTCAGTCCAGGCTTTATCATTTGTTTCACATCTGGATTCTGCTATTCCTGGAAACAGGCAGCTCAAACAGCCCAAAGATTTCAGTTTCTGGGTTTTGTGCCAACTTAAAAACCTCTCAGAATTGTTTGTTTCCCTGCCTTGCCATATTATGGCTGTCTATTTAATCATGGTTGTTCTGTAATGTAACATATTAATGTTCTGTTTCTCCTTAATTTTTCAAGACTCGTGTGGATTCCTCCTCCTTTGTCTGATTTGCCCTTTGGGCTCTGTCCACAAAGGTGTCCCTGTCCCAGGCGCAATCCCGCCTTCTGTTCTTGCTCTTTCAGTGTCGATGCTACGAAAGAAACGAATCGTCTGGGAAGGCTCATTAATCACAGCAAGTGTGGCAATTGTCAGACCAAGCTGCACGACATCGATGGTGTGCCTCATCTCATCCTCATAGCTTCCAGGGACATTAAGGCAGGTGAAGAACTGTTGTACGACTATGGAGACAGAAGCAAAGCTTCCATTGAAGCTCACCCGTGGCTGAAACACTAATTCATCTTCCTTGTTTTGGGTTTTTTATTTTTGGACTGAATGTTCTACAAGGAGTCAGTGAAATTTTTTTTTCCCTGCCCTCACTTCCCTCAGCTTTCTTAGTGGACTGCTTATGGTCTTCCAAGCTCCTTAAAAACTGCCTTTTTGCTTTGAAGTATTTAAATACCTATTACAGTTTTCCAGGCAGGCTTGAATAATTGATCTTAGATTGCCAAAACTTTTATATCGTAAAAGGAAAACCCTCCTTAAAATTTGAATGCTTCTGCACAGTGACCAGTTCCACTTGAGCAGTGAAAGACTTGCACAGAAACTTAATGACTGGGTTGTGCTTCTGCTTTTGCAAGGAAATCTCACGCTCCAGTTTGGGGTGCTGAACTTGGCTGTATGACAGAAGTACTGCTGTACTCTGACTTGGTCATCCAGTGGCTTGACTGCCTGTCACACTGCTTTTCACAGCCCAGTTCTGACAGGCTTCTCTGAGTTGGATGCTACTGTCATTCTCAAATAATTTGTTGTAGGAATCCAGTTTCTCTGTGTCATACATTCTGTTGGCAATGAACTTCAAATGCACTGGCACTGAGGGAAAAGGATGGTCAGACTGGCTGCTTCCTTTGGAGAAATGACTCCCAGCCAAATGAGGATCAATTTTGATAGACTGGGTTGATACTGATTACAGATGTGAAGATAAAACTTCACAGTAAGAATCGATGTTTTGACTTTTACTTATTTTCTAAACTTTGAGAAGGTACCCTTTTTTATAGTTGATGGCTGATTGCTGGAGGTGTCTCCCAGAGGATTTTAAAGAAGTAAAAGCTCTCTCCAAAAATTTTTATATTACCTTCCTATGCTAATTAGCCACATCAGAAGCTATTTATTTACTGTGAATGCTTGAAGTAGAGCATAGTGGTTCCAAAAATAGGAGTCATCTTCATATGCAGCTTCAAACTGTAGTGATGGAGTTCATGCAGTGAAGAAAGTAGATTCCTTATTGCCTGGTCCTGTAGGTCTGTCCAGCACGGTCTGGTCCCACTGTCTCACATGGGAGTTGGCATCTCGTGGGTGTTACTGTTGGAGAGCCAAATCTGGCATATAGGCAGGCAATACAATGCAGGTCCTTTATGTTAAAGATGAATTCTTACCAGTTGGAATTTTTGCCAAGGCAGGCTTGGCATGTGTGTAGATGAAAATGGCTGTGAGCCATCAGCCACACTTGCTGCTGGAAGATGTCAGCAAGGGATCTGTGGCTGTGTTAATGTCTTCTATTCCTCATGTCTTGAAGGCTGCTGCTGTTCCAGCTGAATGCCCTCTAGACAATCTTATGCTTGCCTATGTGATAGGTCAGATAGCAACAACATCCTGGTTGTGTGCTCCAGCAGCAAGAGAGGTGGCTTAGTGATGTATTTTTTAAATTAAAAACTTGAAGACAATGTCTCTGTAAAATAAAGAATATATTTATTATTGATGAAACGGCTGCTATACTACCTGTCTCCATTGCAGTTCATGAGCATTTTGAAAGAAAGCTGTGAAAATCATTAGCTATTAAATGCTTTATATTATTTACTGCTTCACACAAGGCAAACTCGTCAGAGCAAGCCTGGGTATTTTCCCATTTCTGAAGAATTAACTGGAGACCTATTACATTACATGTACTGAGTTTCAGGTAAGCCTTGTTGGCCAACTTGTCTGAGTTGGCACTGATTTTTTTTCTGGTCTCAGTAACAGAGACCCCAGTAATGTGTACAGTGTCCTGTTAAACTAGAGCACTTCCCTTAAGTCAAAATTGGATTTTTTTTCAATTTTATTTAAACATTTACTTGTTCTCTATCAGGTTGAATAGCTTAAAACCTCTGTACTTCAGCATCACTTTTGTGAACAAGAAAGGGGAAAGATCTCCCTGTTTTACATAAAAGGAAATGTCTTCTCTGAAAGCTTAACTGGTATTTGAGTAGCACTGCGTTGGAGGATGGAAATAAAGCTCATGTTGCACTGCTTATGTATCCTTTACTTTTCTAGGAACACATATAGAGATCTATAGATCTATCTCAATGTACTTCTCACAGGACATGTTGTTTGGATATTTATCTCTGTGCCTCACAAGAAAGCTTCATCTTCTAACCAGGTGTCACAGAGAAAAATACCCTTGGGTTGGGAGCTAAACTGCTTTTTTTAAAGGAGATTGAAAAATACATCCCTGGATAAACCATGGAAGAGGATGGAATTCAGATCACATGTAAGCATCTCTCTTCAGCTCAGAGGTGCATCCTGGCTGTTGCTGATGGATTGTTCCTTTGTTTAATTTTTCTGTGCACAAAGCCTCTGCTCAGGCAATGCAGTAACTGCCTTCCCTGCTGCCATGCTCTAGAAAATACACAATGAGGGCACGGCCAAGGCTTGCTGATATTTTGAAGATGGCAAAAGGACTTGAGTGGTTCTGTGCCCTGGCTGAACGGGCTGGCTCAGGTCAGCCATCTGTGGCGTGGCCTTGCTCACAGACAGTTGTTCCTGACCTCAGAAGGGAGGCTGCAGCTCTGCCTTCTGCTGAGCCACATTCACATTGTGCAGCTGAGCAGATGTGTGAAGTGTCCTATATTTTTCATGCTGCCAGTGTAGGAGAGGGAATCAAAAGACTTCAGAGCCTGCTTTTATTTCCAAAGAGAGTAAGATCACAGTTTGATACCTGTCACTGCTTCTTTTATGTCTGTTCAGACTTTTCTGCTCTGGATATTCCACCTTTCTAAATGGAGAACCTAATTGGTGTCTTTCAAGCTTCTTTTCCCACTCCTCTGTTTGGCCTATATGCTTCCACTGGTGTTAAATCTCATTACTGGGGCCAATACACAGCTTGTGGCAGGTGATTGAAAGAACAGAGCTTATGCAAAACACAACTGCCTACCACAGGAGACCTTCAGCTGTCAGAAATGAAATGTTTGGTGCATCTGTTCCAGTCTGAGCACTGCCTGCACCTCAGTCCTTCATGTGAGCACAGCCAAATTGCAGCAGCTCTTCTTCCTTTGCTGTGCTTTTCTCCACTGTTCATCTCACCCCCAAGCAACCACTTGTGAATGGCATGTCTCTCTTAACTTCCCTTCATCTTACAAAATCATTTGGGCTGAATGTTTTGATAGCTGGACAGGTAAGTGTCCTGTAGTACAGATCATCACAAGCTCTTTTAATAAGAATAAACCCCAACTTTGTATAAACATTTTATTTTCTACATGTGGGTAATGTCTGACAGTAAGAAATACAAAAAGTATCTGTTTCAAACAGTTTCTGAAAAAGCAGAGTAAAATCTATTCTGAGAGAATATTATACAACGTGATTTTAATGAGATTGCTCATTCTCTACAGTAGGAGTGATGCTGCTGCTTCCAGTCATTGTCTTTCCCAATGCCTCTGAGGCTCATCAGTGCCATTCTCACCAGCAGCAGTTAAGTCCTTGAGGATGCTCATTTTCCATGTTTAAAAGAAAACCTAAAAAAAAAAAAATCAATAGCAGAAAGGAAACAATAACGTACAACTGGAAAACAAGGAACAGGCAGGGGGCTGGCCCTGTCAATGTGCTATTTTGGGGGACTTTAGGGACAGAAGCTGAGCTTGTGGGTTCTGTGTACAATGTAAACAAAGCCTGGGGCCAGCAGGGGTGCCCCCACAGCACAACCCTGAGGGGCTGGCAGGGCAGGCAAGTATTTGAATCCTTTTGCTCAGGAATGCTTGTTTTTCCTAGGAAAAAAGTGACTCCCTGCTTGCCTGGGTGGAGGTTGCTTTCCTGTGCAGTGCCTTTTCCCCAGGAAGAGAATTGCTTTATCAGGTTTTTAACTTTACATGGAGAGCAGAAAACAATATGCAGCCAACTAGGCTAAAGTTCAGCATCCATCCCTGGATTCTGTGTAAGGAGTGGGCCATGCTCTCACAAATTCTGCCCCAAAACCTGCAGGCAGACTTACAGCCGTTTGATGATTGTCTTCTCTTCACTGTCCTTGCTGGTGCCAGCAGTGCTGCCACGGGCTTCTTTTTCCAGTTCTTCAGTTTGGTCCCTTTTCTGTGAGATGATCCCACTGGGAAAGGAAGTAATTTTGTTTATTTCTTGTGGGTTTGTGCAGAGTGTGAGAGTGCATGAGTTAGAACCTCTCACTGGGCAGCTAGGACATGGGTGAATGAGTGTTCACAGCACAGGGATGGCAGCCCAGCCTCTTGTAGTGAACTGAAAATAATGAATTATTATCCCTAAATACAGCAATGTAATGGTGCCAGGATTATGCTTTAATGAGAAGACTAAAGAAGTAACAAGCTGACTTCTCCACAGAGAAGAAATGGCAAACCATAATGAAGGTGAAAGGGAAGTGTAATCACACTTGGATTTGTACAAAAGTCCAAGGATAAGAGGAGGATGCAGACACAAATGGTGAATTTCTGCAGGGGTGGATGTGTGGTACCTCCAGTGCAGCCACCCAGGCTCACACCAGGCCTGGGAACAGATGGGAGATTCCCAGCTCCCCTGCAAGGCAGCTGCCTGTTCCTCTTTCCACCCTACAGAGGAGAGAAGAAAGGCTTTGCCTCAGCTCTGGATTTTGCCATCCCACTTGAGTATTTCTACACTCCAGAAGCTGTAACCGCCTACTCCAGGCAACGGTTTCACTTTGACCAAAGGGTGTTTTCCCTGCCTGGAATGGGGCTAGATTTTCCCAGCCTGCACACTCAGTGTTTTCACAGCCTGTCCTGAGCCGACCTCAGTCATTTGGAGAGCTCAGTGGATCAAAGCCTGTGACTGCAGTAGCTGCAGGGGAAGAGTAGCCAAGCAACACTCAACTGGATTTGGAAATAAAAACACAGAGCACTTAAAAACCAGTGTGATACTAGGCACAGAGTAATTCTGAGGCAGACTGTTCTCTTGGGTAAATGAGACAGTGAGCTGTTGGGTGACACTGCAGAGCTCTAACATCTGCATGGTAACTTCTACCCAGAAATCATGATGAAAAATGCAGCCCCCAAACACCACCAGTCACTTTGAGCCAGTGTCTGAGATGTTTGTTACCTTGTGTTATACAGAGCTTATTTCCAATGTGTACAAGGCATTTTAGAACATCTATTTATCCTCTTCTTCTGCACAATTACTCTTTACTACAATTACAATTAGGATTTTATGTGACTGTTTAGAGGGGAAAATGGGTTTTGGCTTAAGCTGTATGAGGAGATAACTTCACAAATTACTGGACCAGAAAAGCAGCCCTGCCCTGCTCTTGGTGCACAGCACTGTGACTCAAATCACTAAAAACCTGAAAATACTCCCATCGTTACATTTTTAACTTGGCCTCTACTAAATTGTGTAACAGCTGGGAAATCAAAGCAAGAAGCCATTCCACTGCTGCACAGCAAAGCATCCAGCTGAGCTGGGGAAGTGCTGTCAAGCAGTTTGTAAATTCATGGATTTAAGTATAACATTTTGGCTTAACCTGGCTGTTACAGACAAGGCAAAGGGCGGGCTCACTGTATCCAGGAGGGTGCTGCTGAGATAATCCAACTGAAATCTAATGTGCTCAGACACTTCATGTCTAGATTAAGAAGTAATTTCTTGACCCAAAGAGTTTATAATCCAACCTGATGAGAGGGGCAGAGGTTGGGAAGGAGAGCCTTAGGGGTGAATGAATTTGTAGCACCAAGATCAAGACCCTTCCCACATCCCACCCTTTGACTCACACTGACTCTCCCTTCAGGGAAGACCAAGCCCTTCTCTAAAATCACTTGCTTTGCACAGTTCAAGGGCCTTACACAACCCTCTGTTGGCAGTCTTAAAAACCCCACAGCTTATCATGAATGATGAAAGAGCTCAATATTCTGTTTCTAGATCGGTGCCATACCCCCGTGGGAGTGAAGATCCGGAGATAACCAGCGTGGTGCTGCAGGAGGAAGGAAACTTTGACTAAAACTTGAGCTGGAAACCCCCTGTGCTCTTTGGTATGTAGTGTGGCTTTAGACACAGTGTGTGTGCAGCTGCTGTGACTGCACAGATGAATTCCTGTGCATGAGAATCCAGTCTGGATGTGGAGTGGGAGTAACTGTGCATAGGCTGAGAGTGGGACAATTATGGGAACTGTGCAGAGGAAAAGGGAGTTTCAGTTTTAAATCATGTTGCATGGAGACCTCATTGTTCCCCCATTTTTCTTTGCTCACTTGTATGCTCTGGGGAGCACAGGGGTCACTCACATGCCTGGACAGTGCCTATCCTGACCTAGGGGCCCAAACCTGCAAGACTCTCTCCTGATAAGCTTCCCAGACATTAAGTACTTGTTAGTAGTAGTATTAGTTCTCTGCTGACTTTAAGCTTTACCTCTTATAGCACTGTAGCTCCTCTTGCACGACCAGAAGCTGAGCTTTCAGCTGGTTCCTCTCTTGCAATACATCTCGGAGTTCTTGTAAGGTGAACCGGGGCCGGTTGGGGTCTGTGAGGTCTATCACCATCTGATCTGGTCCAAGGCTGCTGAGCTGTAAAATAAACAGCAGTGGATCTTGTAACCTCTCAAAAAACTCAGCATTCAGAGAGTAAAATTCTGGATTTTATAAATACGGAATTTTCAGAACTCGTACGAATTCATCACAATCCTGATTTTTTTTCCCCAAGCGGTTAATTATAGTTCTTCATATTTTTGTATTCCCTTAGTGACTGTGTTCCCCAGCCAAGTATAGGTCACAGCTGTGACAGGCTCTGACCACAGTTAAAAGCAGTCTCTATCCCAAAGAGTTTGCAATTAGTTGTCAAGAAGATGCTTTTATCAGATTGTTCTCAGATGATGAGAGAGGCTGAGCCATCTAATGCCACACCAAAATTCCGTGTCAAAGGTGAGAACTGAACTCACCATTTTTAATTTCAAACCTCTGTAGTAATCAAGACATCCATTTCCCTTACACGGGAGTAACAAAGCCTCAGTGTTTGCATACAGTTGTCTCTATGGGGCCGGTCCTGTGTAAGAGCTGAACACGGCGGGTTTGTACTCTGAACTCTGTGCGTGTCTGCACAACTTTGCTGGATCAGTGAAACTGGAGGGAGGAATCCACAGCACTGCGACCCGTAACGACCCCGAAGTAAAGAGCTTCAAGGCTTTTATGGTCAAAGACGGGAAATTACTTTTTGTGAGACTTGTGCTGCTGACACAAAAAGAGACCTCAAGTGTCGGCTGGCACATCTGCTGTGGTTCTGGATGGGCTCCGCGACCCGCGCGTGGTGTGCCCGTGCTGGGGAAGGGGCCCGGTCCCGTGTGCCCCGGCAGAGTCCCGTGTGTCCCAGCCGTGTCCCATGTGTCCCAGCAGAGTCCCGTGTGCCCGGGCCGTGTCCCGTGTGCCCGGGCCGTGTCCCGCACCCACCTGCGGGGCGCTCCCCGCGGCCGCCGCCCGCAGCTGCTCCAGCTCCCGCCGGAGGCTGTCCCGCTCCCGCCGCAGCTGCTCCTCGGCCACGCTGCTCTCGCTCACCAGCGCCTCCAGCATCTCCAGCACCCTGACGATCCTGAACTGCAGGCGGGCGCGGGCGGCGGGCAGCTGCGGCCCGGCGCGGAGCTGCAGCAGGTCCCGGCCCACCACGGAGGAGATGTCGTAGACATCCGCGGCCGTTAGCTGGAACGGGCTTTTCTCCAGGGCGCTCTCCAGGCCGCCATCCTCCTCTTCCTCCTCATCATCCTCCTCCTCCAGCTCCTCCTCCCCGTCCCGGCCCCGTTCCATGCCCGCCGCACCCCGGCGCTCCCTCCTCCCTCCCTCCCCGCCGGGCCGGGCGGCGCTGCCGGCGGGGCCGCGGGCGGAGCGGCCCCTCCCGCCCCCGGCGCTCCCATGGCGGCGGCCGCGGCCCCGCGCCGCTTCCCGTCCTGCCCCTTCCCATGAGGAGGCACCGCCCGCTCTCCGCTGCCGGTAAGGGACGGGGAACTCTCCGGCAGCCCCGGGAACCGGCACCGAGGCGGGTGAAGGCATCGGCCTGTTCCGCAGCGCCACATCGGCCTCGGCGGCTCCGGGAGCGGAGAGCGGGGACTGGCGGGATCCGAGCGGCCGGGAGCGGGGAAAGGAGCTGAAATCGACCCTGCGGCTCCCCCGGGCCGGCGGATCGGCCCCTGCCCGCCGGGAGAGCCGCGCCGGGCGGGTGAGGGCACAGGCGGCGGCGGGAGCGGGGCTGAGGGGCTGAGGAGCCTCCTCGGGCCGGGGCCCCTCAGGCCGGGGTAGGCCAGGGCAGGATCCGGCTCCCCGACACGGCTCTGTCCCGGCATGTGGACTCAAACAACAGCGACACGGCTGGTTTATCTTTGTGTGCCACACTTTGAGGGATTTTTGGATGAACACGCAGTGCAGCGATGCTGCACAGGCTGTTCCTGACCCAGCCGTGAGCCTGTGCCATGCGTGTGTTCTCCCCCACTAGACAATGGCTGACTGGGCCCCCATAGCGAAGGAGTACGATCCCCTCAAGGCTGGCAGCATCGATGGCACGGACGAGGAGCCCCACGACCGGGCCATATGGCGGGCGATGCTGGCTCGGTACGTACCCAACAAGGGCGTCACGGGAGATCCTCACCTCACCCTTTTCGTGGCAAGGCTCAATCTTCAGACCACAGAAGAGAAGTTAAAGGAGGTTTTTTCCCGCTATGGAGACATCCGAAAAATCCGTCTGGTTCGAGACCTGGTCACGGGATTTTCCAAGGGTTATGCGTTTATTGAGTACAAAGAGGAGCGTGCGCTCCTGAAGGCCCACAGAGATGCCAACAGGCTGGTCATCGACCAGCATGAGATCTTTGTAGACTTTGAACTGGAAAGAACTCTCAAAGGATGGATTCCCCGGAGGCTTGGGGGTGGGTTTGGAGGCAAAAAAGAGTCTGGGCAGCTGCGGTTCGGAGGACGGGACAGACCTTTCCGAAAGCCCATCAATTTGCCAAACATGAAAAATGATTTTTATGGAGAAGGATCATCAGAGAAAAGAAACTGGTCTCGTGAGGGAACGAGGGACTGGAGAACGAGGGACCGGGACCACGAGAGGAGCAGGGACAAACGCTGGCCAGAAAGGGAGAGGTCGTGGGCTTGGGGTGACGGTGAGAGAGAGAGGGACTCCAAAGAGGAGAGGAGCAGGGGGAGGGAAAGGAAGGACAGAGACAGGAAGGACAGGGATAGAGACCGGAGCCGGGACAGAGATACCAAGAAGCAAAGAGATGATGATAAGCACCGATAGGTGACCTACCCTTACAGCAGCTTGGGGCTGTGACAGCAATCCCAGAACAAGCTGTGGTGTTGCCACCTTGTGCCTGTAACTCTGCTGCCATCAGCTCTCTGTAGTTCGGTTCCTAATGCAGTTCAGATGTGTGTTGAATTGTTCTTTAGAGAAAATAAACTTTTGTATTAATGTTTTTGAACTGGTGAGTGCTGTAAGGAATGCACGGTGTGTACAGGCATCCCACTGAGCTGAACACACACCTTGTGTGGCTGCCTGGGTGAGGGGTTGTCTGTGGGCCAGGTGTCCTCTTGTTCATTATGAAATAGTCCCGTGCTGGAGACACAGGAACGGAATAGCAACGAACTGAAACTTCTGTGCCCCAAAACAGAAACTGAAGGCTTCATTTTTGTGAAGACACTGGGACAGGCAAGACCTTTATTAATAATGTGTGCTTAACTAGTTCTCCCAGGTGAGAGAAAAACATGGAACCAATCCACTGCCTGTGACATGGGAGGATGAAACTCCTTTGTACAGAGGAATGTGCACCACAGGGCAGCAAGCACGTCAGAAAATGCCTCTTGTTCCTGATGAATCCATGCCACTAAAGGAGGGTGTCACGGGTAAATGTGGTTGTAGCTGCACCCACTCTGTCCTCACCCTTCTACACAGGGTTTAAATCCATTCTGGAAACTGGGTTTGCTGCTGGTTGTAGCTGAATTGGGACAAGCAGAGGGCAAAACATCTTTTTCAGGGCTAGGATGTGTAAATACAGACACCTCTTCCATTAAGGAGCTTGCAGTGCTTTCTAGAAAAGGCTCTGTCATGTTCTTTGTCATCATAAGCCATTCCTAAATATATAATGTATTTTAAATTGTATTTTGTCAGTCTTGGGAATGGCTCTGTCCTAAACCTTGTCTGGTTTAAGGCTGTATTTCCATGAAGAGTTGTACATAGACATCCATAGGCTGCATCCCCAAGAATGGATGGTATTATTTCCACAAAAAAAACCCAAAACCACAAGTCTTGCAGAAATACATATTTTTCAGAAATATTTATTAAACTGTTAAAATGATTTACTGCCCAACCAAAAAAAAAATAAAATAAACCATCCCAAAAATGTCAGTGATCCTGCACTTGGCAGGTATTGTTACACCCCTTACCTGCCAGCATCCTGGCCCCTTTTCTAAAAGCAGATTTTCCTTGAATATTGACAAACAATACACGACAGATCTTCAGATCTTTACAAACGCTTCCCTCTGCGCCATCTCCACGGCACTTGGGGTGTGTGAATGCAGCATTGCAAACGTGAGAACGAGTGGTTAATGCCAGCAGGTCAGGAGGAGCTACTGAGGGGTTGAGGTAATGGGCTGCAGAGGTGTGGGGAAGGCTGTCCTGCCCTGTGCACTGGTTTGATTTTGGCTGCAGAGGTGTGGGGAAGGCTGTCCTGCCCTGTGCACTCGTTTGATTTTGGCTGCAGAGGTGTGGGGAAGGCTGTCCTGCCCTGTGCACTGGTTTGATTTTGGCTGCAGAGCTGGCCCAGCACAGCCCCGGGCTCTGCTGTACGTGCACCAGACCTGGAGATTTCCTTTGTGCTGCATGGCTTAGGTTGGCTCTGTGCAGTTCCATTATCCCAGCTCATTGCTCTCAGCTGATTTCCAAAAGCATCTGCTTACTCAGGCCCACGTTCTGGCATTGTTTGTGCTCACTGCATCCCTCCTGAATGAGCTACACCACTGAGCTGCCCTCGGGACAGACTCGATGGGGTCATCCACAACTGAACTGCCTGAGGAGACTGTACTGCACTTTTTGTTTTCTCTCATGGAAGTGCAGCCAGATCTTGGCAATTTAAGCATCATTAAATTAAGACACTCCCTCCCATTTAACAGTTGCTTTTCACAAGAGGGAGGAAGTGCTGCTGTTTTAAGTATGTTACCAAAATATAACCAGGCAAAACCACATCTACCCAGTACCCACATGGGACTCTGGTCACCTTGTCTCATATAAGGCCACATGTGCCCCCTGCCTCGAGCTGCAGTGATACCAGGGGGTACAGCAAACACTTTCCCTAGAACACACAGAAGGTCCATGTTGGAATGAAGCAGTTACAGCCAGGAGCAGGACAGCACACAGCCTACCACTGCAAGGAGAGGTTTTACTGCCAGGATTTTACTACAGATGGGCTAAGAACCATTTGCTGCTCATACACATTAAAAATCCACTCTTGGATCACCCTGTAATAAAAACAACTGGCCTGCACTAAGCCCTCTGGAGTCCTTTGAGAGTTCCTCCTACACTCAGTACCTGGAGTAGTTGGATCTTTGCTGCAGCCTGAGCTGGATTTCCTGCCCTTGGTGCCACTCCTGAGAAGAGGCTCTACAGAGCAGGTGGAGCAGATGGGGCTGTGGTGCCAACAGCAGCTCCCAGCCCCTGGCACTGAGCTGCACATGCAGAAGCTGCCCATGGCCCTGGGCATGTGGTTTCCAGCAGAGACACCTCAGTCCTTCCCTCACATGAAGCCATGGATGGATACCTGCACCCTCTCCCACCTGGTCAGGTTCCTCATGGAGTGTGTGGAGTGCACTGGCACTGGGTGTCCACAACGCTGATGCTGTGGGGTTTTAGTGTTGGAAGGACAACCTTGGTCAGCCTGGGTCTCACCAGCTCAGCTGCAAAGCAGCTCCAGCCCCTGGGGTCACTGCTGGGTTGTTGCTGGTGAGTTCAGCCCTGTAACAGGGGCTACCCAGACATCTGCCACCACCAGAGAAGCAGCCTCACACAGAACTCATCTGCTGTGCCCATGTAGTGTTTAGTAAAGAGAAAAGGTTGGGGTCATGTCTAGGTCAGTGAAATAGTTCACGTCAGCCAGCTGAGGATGTGTTTCTCTCTGAAGTTGGGCAGTCTTACCTAGACAGGAAACTGAAGTGTGACTTAATTAAAAACCTGTCTGTGGGAAAGATCTAATCCCTTTACAGCAGCTGCCTGCTACACTGTGAGGAAATCCTTGGTAAGGAGGGAAAAAAAATTCCAGAGTTAGGATTCCTCCTGTAAGCAATTTGTTTTCCATTAATACTGCAGAACACAAGGCACGCTCACCTCATACATCGGCTCTTCATGCTTTAGGCACTGTAAGCACAAGGGAAATGTACACTCAGTGTCCCTCTCAAGGCTACTCCAGTTATCTCTGTGTCAGGTGGATTTCCAAGGGGTGACTCTGCAAGATGCCGATGCCAGCGGCACTGACAGGACACAGCAGAGCTGTGGGCTGCCACCAAGGGCCTCCAGCTGTCGTATCCCTCTTGAAAAAATTCTTACAGAAATAAAAAGCAAACAACCAATAGTGTTAACAAACAGGGTAAAAGAGTCCTTGCCCTCTACTAAATATACACTGCAAACAAACTTCTAATAATGGCACAGGTCCTTTTTTGGTTTAAAGAAGCTTGTGTTACTGTAGTTAATGCATGAACAAGGTCATGGACTTGTTATTCAGCACAAAACAAGTCATCTAGAAGCTTCCATGTCCCAGGGTGTCAGCAACTGTTGCTACAAAGCTTGGGTTCTTGTTTTCAGCAAACAGTCACCAAGTGAACAGTGAGGGGTCCCTTTTGGAGAGTCTGAAACAACCCCCGAGGTGTGCAAGGCAAGTAAAAGTGACGAGCTGCCGGGATGCTGTACAGAAGCTTCTTGTTATGAGACTGTCGAGATCTACTGCAGCAAACCAAACACCTCAGGGTTTAGTCACAGGTGTTGCAGGGCTTCTTGTCCTTGTTCCATGTAGGAGTCATCTCTATGTGAATGTGACCATTCTCCAAAAGTTTCCTGGAAGTGGACATTTTTCTGTGACGCCTGCATACGTTTCTTATCACGAGAGAAGAAACTAAACCTTCCGGGAAGGGAGCAGTGAGGGAGGGAGAAGAAAGAAGAGTGTTTACCATCCTGAAAACACTTCAAACACCCTTCCCAATACACAGCACAACAAAACACAACTCTGTTTGCATCTGCAAAAAATCAAGGCAGAGCAGCCTGATGGGAGTGCATGTCAGAATGCTGTTAGGGATGGAGTCATTGCAATCTCAAGCGGTTTGGCTACGGAAGCTTCAGGTAAGTTCTAAATGCTGTTGACTCTGCAAGGTGCAGGTATCATTTAGATGTAGGTTCCCCCTTTCCCCAGCCCTCAGGTAACAAAGCCACACGATCCAGGTTAGTTTCTTGGCATAAGTAAAGTGGTATCTTTGGCATTAAATCTGTATATTTTACCATAAAGCAGAAATAGAATTTTTTTTAAGGTTGTCAACAGGGAAGTTCACAAGATAAGAAAATAAGTCTCCCATTTTTTTTCCCAGTGTAGAAGTTTTGATACACAGACTTGATTCCTGCAAAAATGAATTAATAAATGCACTATGTGCACAAAAGTTTGCAGGATGAAGGCTCCAAACAAATGCACACGAGTGTGCATGTCATTTTCTGTCACACAGCTCGGGTGCTCTAAGATAATGATGTACATGAACCAACAGCCATTTAATACAGCTAAAGAATACATCTTAGTATTGTTTTATTTGTATGGGATGAAGTTGCTGGATTAGGCAAATTCAATGTTTGTTGTGGGTTCAGTACAAGAGGTGTTAGTGCAGTGTTTAGGCCTGCTGAGAAATGCAAAAGTTGTGGTTCCAGCTACCAAAGGACTGAGTTGGTTGTGATCCCTTTGGTCTCAGTGCTGGGTGAGTTTCAGGAGGTGAAGATTGTTTTGCCTGCACTGTACCAAGTGTCACACAGTTCCAGGACAGGAACTGCAGGTGTTCCACAGGAAGAGACCATGCCAATATAACCTCAGCTTTGTTGAGTGGTGGAATATTGGTCAGGGCATAAATCTGACCCCGAGTCCATTCTCACCCCTCAGTGTTCTCCCTCCTCCCACTCTTCCTTCATCCCCCCCAGCACCACAATCCCAACCCTCCCAGCTGCCTTGTGCAGAGAGTTTGTTTGACCTTCCATGTCTCTCCATACACAGGGGGCTGGATGATAATCACTGAGAATAATGGATGATAATCACTGAGAATTATTGTTGATTAGAAAGGGAAATAAACCACTATACAAGTTAAATGCACATAAATAACAGTGCCAGCAGGACCTGAACTTTTGCATTTCCTGGCTTCAAATGTGCAGCCTTAATAGTGAAATAAGTCTTTTGCACTTAATTAGCCTCATCCTTTTCTACCACCTTCATCACAGGAGCTCATGAGCTCACACACATGTACTGTGTATTTTTAGGGCCAGAACCAGCTCCAGCTGATAAAACAAGTGTTTAGTGACCAAGCCTTTCTACAGAGCACATTTGGTGCTGCCTGCTCAGGGTTACTGTCTGGAAGCCCACACAAAGGACTGCTGTGTTTATACAGTCAGTTTCAAATGTCAAAGCTCAGTAATTTTTCACTTTATCGAGAAATTAAGCAGGAGGAAAATAAGTTCGTAAATCTCTAAAGGGTTCAGCTTTTAAAATTCCTACTGAAACAATTACAATTGTTATTGTGGCTAGAAAATTCTCATGGAGGATGTTTGGAAAAAGCCTGTCTGTGTGGAGAGGAAACTGTGTCGTTGCTGTAAATATAAAGATCACTAAAGCAGCAGTTCAAAGAGACTTTGTATGAACAGTTATCAGTGTGTCTTCCAGGGAGAGCCAAGAATTGGATGACAGAATTGATTATGAAGAGTTTACACTCTATTCCAAAATACATAATTAGAGACAAAATATACAGGGCATAGATAGAAAGACATGAAAGCAACAGCCTGTAATTAACAGTGGAAATTAATGTGGAAATCAGCCACTCCATTCTGTAATTCTAACTAATGATTGTAACAAATTGTTAGAAACGAGTTTCTCAAAAAGCACTGGTGAAAACTGTGAATAGCCTTGCTTAGGAAGCAGAATTAACAGATGCTGGTTAAAACTGCATATTGCACCGATTTTCCAAGGAACACTGATTGGTTTAGCATGGCAACATTAAGGCAAAAGGTGCTAACATGTCAGTTTGAGGATGGGCATGGAGGACTGGGATGGGTACTGACACTGACTGGTCATTCTGATTGGCACTTTGATCCTCTGGGATCCCACTGGCAGCCAGGAGAATGCAACCAGCAGTGCTTGTTAACACGGGGTCATGCAAGAGGAAAGCACAGTACCAAACATTAAAAAAAAATTCCTACAAGGGACACAAGTCTTCTTATTGGCTGCAATGTGGGATCGTCTGGAATCAATCCAGCTGCTACCATGGGCATTATGGCTGTAAAGATCCTGGTCAGGAAAGTACAGACACAGAAGAGATAAGACTGGAGCAAGGGAAAGAAAAAGCATTCCATTAAAAAGAGAAGAGGCAAACATGATACACAGGGTTACTTTGAATTACAACACAGGACACGTTACAGGGAGAGGGGGATCTGCATCACCCAAGACAGCTCTCCTCAGTGAAAAACTCTTGTTTAGAAAAAAACAATTCAATTGCTTTTGGATTTCTAAAAGATACCACTTTCCTGTTGTGAGGCAGCCTGCAACCTGGGTTGGATTTCATCAAGGTATGACCACCTCTAGCAATGCAGAGCAGAGTGCACATTTTTGTTCCAAGAGACAAACAGGCACAGACACAATGAAATGAAGGATGAAGGGGTATGTTAAGGAATACAAAACGGGACTCTGCTGTGACTACTGGATATTGGCACAGGGTTAGAGAGACCAGCATTACTCCATTACAGTTAAAGATTTCACAAGGGTTACAGTTGGTATTTTCAAGTTAAAATCCAGTATTGCAGGTGAACTTTTGAAATAACTTCCTAAGAAACTGTGGTTAAAGGGGCCTGTGTGCCTGTTCCAAAAGAACCTGTGTTACTTCTCATGCAGAAAGATGCCAACTGCAGGCAGCTGAATGCTTTTGGGAAACCTTGCAGCTGCTCTGGCAGGAGCACTTTGGAGCTGGCTCGCAGCAAGACGGGTTCTTTGTGAGGGTTCAGCACTTGCACTGAGCATTAGACAATCCATGCAGCACAGAGGCTGAGAGAGCTGAGTGCTCTGTGCCCAGCCAGCCCCACACACAGCTGCCAGCACACCTCCATCCATACCTGCAACACCCTCTGTTTGTCTAAGGATTCTCTCTCCTCAGAGGTTCTCCCTTGTGCCAAATATTTTTTTGAACTGTGGACTAATGTCAATTAAAGATTAAGTTGAAATCACGAGAGACATTTCACTTGTGACCAAATGCAGCTCTCCCCAACTCACTAACTGCCGTTCTGAGATTAAAATTGGAAACAAATGGGCAAACACTGTTGGATCATTAGCAGCAGCCAGGATTTCTATTTTTATGCAGTGTGGCACGTCCTGAGCTGCAGAACTGACAGACACACCAGCTTTTGTAGACTGCAAGAATAGGAAGAAAACTCCTGGCTGTTTGAGGCATGACATCAGTGACAAACAAGCATGTAGTCTTAAGGAGAAAACAAAAGGGTGTTTTCTGCTCCAAACAGAGGGAACATTTTTAATCCTTGGACTTTTCCTCCTCAGTAAAGCCTCCTGGTTACATTATTTCATTAAAACTCTGTCATGTGATGTGAGAGAGACAAATGCACGAGTCAGTCTGAGATCAGAACTCAAGAGTTTGCCCCAAATGTGCCAACCCAGAAAAAATGCTGATTTCTGTAGCTTCTGTTTTCCTTTCTTTATGGATTTGCAGCACTGAATCACCTGAGCACATCTTGGATGGCACAGGCTACACATCCATATGGCTCATTCCCTCAGACTCTGTGTGCTGAAGGAAAAAAGGACACATTGCACAGGCAAGCACAAAACTTCCCTTGAGAGGGCTCCTATTTTTGTACTTCAGCTTTTTTGTTTAATCAGGAGGAAAACTCTAAAAGAGAGGGAAAAGCAACTCCACTTTCCCCTGTAAAGGCACTCTGCATGCAGAGAGCAGCATTGCAAGTTTTCATCACATCACTGGGTACAGGGAGTTCATGTGCCAGAGCATTTCCCAGGCAGCCACAGGGACCCTGGAGAGGCAGAAGGGAGCTCTGGAGACTCCTTGCAGCAGGCAGGGACTGCAGCTGGGGCAGGAGGGAGCTGGCACAGGACAGAAGCTTCACTTGGCTTCTTTGGTTTGCCCAGCAGTGACATTTCCTGACTTTTTAAAGCCCAACTACAAATACAGTGTTGACAACACACAGAGAGGGAAGGAGGGAAGGAAAATAAAACCCCACCAGAGAAATCCTATCCAGACAGGCTGCAAGAATGAGACAAACCTGAAAACTGTTACCATCCTTCAAATTACTCAGATAGAGAGTTTTATATTCTGTTATTTAACATGATGGCTAAGAGGAGAGAGCAGAGTGAAACCTGGGGACAGAGCATGACATCTAAAAGAAGTAATTACAGCTTAGGCAGAGTCAGAACTAATACCTCACATACAACCTCTATTTGCTTTATCAAAGGCAGCATTTCAAATCAAACATGGAAGCTGCACAACAAAACCGTGTGAGCTGAAACCAGCCATTCCCTACAACAGAATAAGCTTTAAAAGGCTCTAAAAGAAATGTAAAAGAAAAGAGAAACTTTACAGTGAAGATCTTTACAGTGCACACAGTATCATCACATCATCATCATCATCATTATCATCATCATCACAGTGGCAGAATGAAAACTGGTGTCCAAACTCAAAGTGTATTTTCTACTCATGTGAGAGGAAGGTTTCTCTTAGCACAGGCAGAAAGCTGCAGTCTACTGCAAATAATCAACAGTGCCCTCCTGACTTCATGGTGTTTTGGGTCAGTCCAGATCTTGCTATGGAATTTACTCTCACAGGGTTGCTGCTGTTATTAAACAAGGCCTGAAGGTTGTGGACATGGGGACAGGATGGAAGATCTCTTTATATGGAAATAACTGTTCCAAAATCACTTATGCAGTTAAAAAAGTTAAGCTTCTGGTATCACAAAAATCCAGATAGTTGCTATGAGATCAGAAGACTTAACTTGGAATAAATAAATGTACAGGAGGGAGTTTCAACAGAGAAAAGACCTGGCCAACACAGTGATTTTATAATTAAGTGATACTCTAGCACAGCACATCTCTGGCAGTAAGGTTTGGTTCCAACAGCAGCATTAATATTTCAGAAAAAGGTGGGGTTCTTTTAGCCAAGCAAGTGCCCATCCTCTCAGCAGCAAATTTGCTCAGCAAACAGAAGGTTTTTGTGCTGCCCACATAGTGCAAGTCAGGGTCTAAAGGCTTCAGTCAACAGGGAAATGGACACAGTGAGGTCATGGGAAAATGATAATCCAAGACTGAAAGTTGTCCCAGATCTAGGCAAAAGTTTTGGCCAAAACCAACTGTTGTTTCACATCTGCCAAGTGCTCATTCAGTGGCTCTCTCATATACAGTAGGAATGTGATTTTCTGAGTTTTTAAAGTCTTAAAAAATGTACATTTGGTATTTACAGATTCTATCCAGTATGCTTAGTAAATATGCTACTTACAGTCGTTTGATTCCAGATTCAGGCTGAGTTGAGGGTTTTGGCTGAATTATGGGTGTAGGCTGTGGGGATCTAGTTTCTTCTTCCATTTCCTCACTTGAAAGAAAGAAAAGGTAATTAATGTTCTCCTCCCAAGCCATGGAAGCACTTTGAGATCTACAATTCAATCTGAGGTAGCACTGTTGATGAAGGAATGCAAAAAGATCTGTTCAAAACCCATTCAAATCAACTGAAGATTTTTTTATCAACCAAGGATCAGCACCAAGAACTGAGTCTCCATTCATTATTTTCTTCCCTGTGAATGTATCATCCAACAGGAGAGGAGCTATAACCCACCTTTTGTAATATAAAAGCTCCTCTTGAAGCAAAAACACTCTGGATTTCAGTTCATTCCTCTCATGAAGGACATCCCGGAGCTCCTGCAGGGTGAATCTTGGGCGATTGGGATCTTTTAAGTCCATTGCCATCTTTTCTGACTCAGAGAGACAATCATCATTGTTTGGTTCTGCCTAGGGAGTGAAATGTTGGCTTTAAATTCACCATCCAATTCAAATGTCCAACTTTTGGTAAGTCAGTTTTAGGAATTCATACTTTTAACAAATGGAGTAAATCAAACATAGTTTTTTTTTACAAAAACACTGAAAGGTCATGCAGTTCCTTCCAGCTCCTCCCACAGAGAGGTGTCTTCTTATAATGTAAACACACAAAGTGGAGATTAAAGTTTCTATCCCCCCTTATGCTTTCATGACAAACCAGGAGGGATGTTAGCACCAGATCTGGCTGCAAAGTGGCAGAAAATTGCAGATGAGATGTTTCTACACCTGTACCCTTTCCTCTTCTTTTCCTCTAAGAGTTCACTGGAAGCTTGGAGGAGTTTTATCTCCCACCACCCAGTTTCTGTGGCTCCCAACAAGCCAGAATTAGCTCTCTAGGTACAAGTCTCGATTCCCAGGCCTGTGGGGCTCCTTCCTGTCATCTCTAGCACTTGCTCAGAACTCTATGGCACAAAGTGCTTGTGGAAACATGGTCTGTGTAAGCACAGCACACAGGACACCACTGCTCAGTTGTTCCACTCAGTGGCTGCACAGAAATAATGAAAAATCACAAGGTTCTGGAAAGGGTACTTGGAATTGAGATTCTGAAAAGCAGCTCCAAGCCTTAAGAGGTCGGCAGGATTTATAACAATACAAATAAATGCAGGACACTCTGTTCCAGGAAAATACATTTGAAATGTGATGCTTTTTGCAAGGACTGATAGAGGCCAGCACATGAAATCAGAGCTGCCAGCAGCCAGGTCAGCCACTCACCCTCCTGGGAGGATGCAGAGATCAGAGTCTCAGACCTCCTGTGTGGCACTGACAGCTTGCTGGGATACAAACTGGAAATTTGAGGAGTTGAGTAGTGAAATTCCTACACAGTCCATTTTTTGTAATCCTGACCCTACACTCTTCTAAGCTCCCGTGTTTGTGAAATGGTTTTACAATAACTGATCAGTGGTTTCAGGATGAACTTGGCTGTGGCTGGTGCAAGGTGAATTTCAGGTGAATTTCAGTGCCTGTCCTGCAGGGATGAGGCAGCAGAGTGATGCTCACTTGGGCACTGTTTGATCACCCTTTTCATCCAAACACATTCCTTTGCACAGATTACATGGAATAAAGATTGATGCAACCTAACAAGAGGTTCAAAGGAAATTACCCAAACACTTTTCCTCCTCTTCACCCCCTAGGTATGGGTCTCAGCTGGTGTCTGTTCTTTTGGTTGTAGATTTGCCCCACATCTCTGCCCAAAGAAGCTGTTTTTGCTACATTTGGCTCAAATCAGCAAAGACTGAGCAGCCTGTACTGGATGCAAATGTCCTTGAGTGAGGCCAACAAGCAATGTCCATTCTGGAGCATGCAGCTATTCCAGCTTTCTGCTTGCCACTGCAATTCCTGTGTAAGCAGTGTCCTGGCACAGGGAGCAGGGACAGCTCTCATTAGAAGAGGAGCCATTGCCATGGAACTGATGAGTTAGAGAGAGGTGAAGAATGCATCCTTTCTCTGCAGACACTGAGGACACTTTCACTCCTGCTGGCTCCAGGCCTGGGCTCCCCAGCCCCGTTTACAAAGCTGGGTGTCCTGGCTGAATTAACAGCAATGAAATAATCCTTTTCATTATTAATACAGTGCTTGCCCAACTCAGCAGTGACATGTTAACACAACTGGCTGTCACATTCCCAGGGGACCAAGGTACCCCATCAGCACTTGTCTCTGCTTTTTGATGTGTATTCCTGCCTGTTGCCAGTGAATTGATGTTTCACTGCATCTTTCACTCTCTGCTGCAGTCTGTCAGGCATTTACACCATGGATCTCTTACCAATGCATCCAGCTGAACAGCTCTGTGTGATAGAGCTCCTCTAAGTTCTTAAATATCCTGACACCCCTTATTGCATTTCCTACTCTGCTAAGAGCATGATTAGGAGAGGGAAATGCAGTACATTGACTTCAGGAATAAAAAATTAATGTCATAGGCATAAAGGAGAATACTAGGAACCATAAAGAGGACTAAGGGATCAATAGATCAGTGCATCTTTTTCTCAGGGAGCTCCCCTCAAGTCTGCATTTGTGCTGCTCTGATTTCAGCCCAGCTCCCTTTGCAGACTGTCACTTTGCCTGTTCTGCAAGAACCTGGCTCTGCCAGCAGGAACATTTGCTTTTCATGAACATCTGTGCTCACAGCACTTCACTGCACAAATTCTAATAGGAAGCAAAAGCAGAAATAAGGCCAAAGTTGGTTCCTCTAAAAAGTGCCTTGAAATATTTATATGTTGATTTGGTAGCATTTAACCAGCTTAGTCCTGACTGATCCAAAGTGCCATAAGCACTGCAGGGACCAGGTGTGCAGAGCTCTGCCCTGACTCTGGGGCAGCTTCTGGCACGGTTTCTGTTCCACTGAGGTTCATCTGCCACCATCACCCCTGTGACCCATCTGGCCTTGAATATTTGCAGATCTGGCAAAGCTAAAGCTACTGTTGACTGTGTTTGGAAAACCCAGCTCTCCAAGGAATTGGTTTTATTTTCCTTTGGGGGAAGGGGAAGATGTGTACAAACGAAGCAAACATGTTACCACAGCCCTGCCAAAAGGCAAAGAGAAGTACTTGGTATGAAGTTCAAAGCTTTTTAAAAGGCTGTTTAAAAGGTGATTCAAAATGCCTCTTACCTTTACTTCCTCCCCATTTTGACTGGCCTGGCTGTCCTCACCCTGCAGCTTTTCTCTGAGCTTCCCCAGCTCTGCTCTCAGGTTGCCCATCTCCTGCTCCTTGGTTTGCAGATACGCTTCCAGCTCCACCTTCTGCTCAATCAGTGCCTTCCCCTGGGCCTCGACCACCGTGATGCGGTGCCTCAGGTCGTGGTTAATCTTCATCAGCCTGTTCTGCTGCTGCTGGAGCTGCAAAACATCCAAAGCTCAGTGTCCATTCAGCCATGAGCCACGATGGCCCAAACATCATCTTAAAGTTCCTGTTGCATTTAATCTGAAAAATTCCACCCCTCTCCTCACCCCCAGATTAGTTTTTCTAATATCTAATTATCTACTACAATTTCAGTCACCCAAATTTAATTGACTTCTAGAGTAAATTCCCCTCGCACAGGGAGTTGTTCAGATAAAAGCAAATCCATCACTTCTGATATTAGTTCAAAGATAGGGTGGCTTATGGGATTCTGAATCAAATCTTAACCCAGGGGAGAAGAAAGACAAGACAGAGGAATCCTTAGTGTTCAGTTTGTAAGTACTTTACTTTGAGCTCCAAGGCTCTCTCCCAAGGCAGGATGTCACCTGCTGGGTGTATGTTTGAGCCCAACTCAAAAGGCTGCAGCACCTGCCAGAGGCACTCAGGCAGAGCAGAGATCACCTAGGCCTGGCTTTACTAGCACCAGGAAAGTCCCATGGCCTAAGGACATGAGGCAGTGTGTGGAATGAGAAGCAAAATATGGGTAAGGAGGTCATTGCACAGAAAGTGCCAAATCTCATGTCATGCCTGGAGTCACAGAGGAGTCTGTGACTCAGCTGAGGCTAAGCCCTGAACAGGTCACTGCTGGCAGGGGTGGCCTGGGCTGAGCAGTGCCCATCTCAGGCAGAAGTGATCCACACTGCATCCCTGCTGTGGGACTGCACTGTACCCTGACTATTCTGGACACTCCACAGCTCTGCTGGACACTTCAGTTGCAGGACTATTAATCCAGCACTGTTTACACTTTCTATATTAACTTCAAACTCAAAACCAGGCTATGGAAGTGTGGGTGAGAAAGAAAAGCAACAGAAAGACCAAGAGCCACTTACAGCCTCTACATCTTCATTTTTAAGTCCAAGTTCCCGGTCCTTTGCCCTGATTTCATCCCTCTGTTTATCCACCACTTCCTTCAGCTTCTTCATGACTTGCCGCTCTCTCTCTGACATCCCTGGTTAAAAAAAGAACACAGAAACAAACTAAGGCCAGTCAGGAGCTGCTGAGCCTGAGAACAATAACAATGAGAAATATTTAAGTAGACTCTGGAAGTTGCCTGCTGGTAGAATTACAGAGATGCTTTAGAGGTTACTTCAAGGGTAACAGAGAACACAGATGACAGAATCCACTCCACAAAGCTCCTGCACAGAGACTCCTTAAAAAAGGAACTGACAGTGCTCAGAAACATTTATAACAGTGAGTGACACTGCTGCATCTTGCTGCCTTAGTAATTTTACATCAATGTTTATGCCATGCCCCAGGGAGCTTGGTTATCTGTGTGATTATCTCTGGAATCAGCTGGCCCTGTGAAAATTGTAAAAAAAGATGGTCTGGATCTTCAGTAAGATGTAAACAGCATATCACTGTTGTGGATTGCATCTGGATCCAAACCAGCTGAGGAGCACTGAACTAGATTGATTTTTAGTTGAAATCCAGTTTTGTGTTTGGTGAAAAGAAGATGAAACAGGACCTTCAGAGGGTACCCCCACCCTGCATGCAGAACCAAAATTTATTCTGAATTATGGTCACATATTTTCTTCTCATGTTTTGCTTCACTTTTCCCATCCTATTTTGTGGTAATTCATATTTAGAGTAACTATTTGAGAGAAAAATACTTCATAGCATTTCACTGGTAAAAGGAGTTTGGAACATTGCCAAGAATTCATCACTGATCCTGTCTGAAAATAAAGAAAGTGTTAGATTAACCTTAAATCTGACCAATGAATCATTAGGAAATGTCATAAACCACAAAACAGGAAGCATTCTTCTATTTGCCATTACAGAGATAACTTGGATCTGGCACTGCAGACTCTTGAGAGCAGACACAGACCAGAGGTTTTACTTGGTGAGATGATGAATCTCCTGCCCTGACTTTTCCTGAGAATGGTACAGACATGTGCACTTTGATGGTCCTGAACTATCCCATGAAATCACATTGCACATCCTTGAAGATGAAAACCCTGCAACCAGAGCAGTGTGTGGCTCCTCTGGCCAAAGTCCAGCCCAAGCAGGAGCTCAAATCCAGGCTCTGCTGCTAACTCTATTAATTTTGGTAAAGTACTTTGTTATGTGGATCTTGAGCTTCTTCCATTTACGAAGTGCTAATTCACTCCCACTCTGGGGTGGCTGGAAAGCTGCTTCCTTTTTAATATTTTAAAGCAGCTCCCACATCAGAAATATGCTCTGTATGCACCAAATGCATCCAGCCAGGAAAGGCTCTACTTTCTAACATCAGCTCAGACTTTCTGTTTTTGTTCTTCCCTCATCAGAGAAACCCAGAGTTGTTCCCACAAGAGAATTTAGCTGCATGTCTTTAGGAACTCCAGCTCACAGGTCAGCTACAGAATGAACTGATGGATAATAGAGCAGAGCAGGACAAACCTCAGAGAAGGAAAGGGAGTAACTGGTGGATGTGCCCTCCTGCAGCAGCTGTGCACTCCATGCAGGGAGTGGGCCAGAGCAAACAGGGGAACAGCAGCTCCAATCCTCAGTGCTAAAGGACCAGAGCTGTGGGACTGCAGAGAACAGGGAACTGCTCTGCTGGGAAAAGGACTGGTGCTCATGGCTGGCCAGGAATTTGGTTCACAGGACGTGTTCCTGTCAAACCCCAGAAAAGAACTGTCAGTGACACGGTGATCACATTCTAGTGTTACGTTCTCATCCCTTTTAATTCTGTGGTACATTTGCCTGCTCTATTTCTGGACCCTGGTTTTTATCAGCTCTATGCTGCTCTGGTTCTAGTTCCTCACAGGATAATTTTAATTCTTTGCTGTGGTACCAGCTCATATCCACCATGGAGAACAAGTGTCACAAACACAAACTGCTGCTTAACTATTCTAAAATATCCACATTCCTCTATCACAACACAGGTACTGCTCTGCACCCACAAACCTCACTGCAGGTTCCTGAATCCACTCTCTGCAGCCAATCTCAGGGCTGGGGCCTGAAACATCAGCTCTATTTAAAACCAAAAGAGTCCAAAACTTTACCTTGAAATAGAGGGACTGCAGTGAAACTTTAGAAGGAGGTAGCACTGTGAATGCAGCTGTATCCATTAGTACTTGTGAGATGCTTTAAGATCTCTGGATAGCAGGTGCTATTTAAAGAAAATGTACCATTCAGAGCTGACTACTTTTCCTCCCACTGTGCTCATTTTTCTTACTAACATTTGGTGAACCTAAAAGGCTTCAATTGTGTGCACAGATCACTACAATTTTATTTCAGGAAAGGGGGGAAAAGGAAAGGTGGGGTTTTGTGAAACAGTCACATCTCCTTCCATTTCCTCAGGCACTGGGAAAGAGAAGAGGGAAATCACTAAGTGCCCTAAATGTAAAATTATTATCTCTAAATGGTTCAAACTTTAATAACTGCAAGATCTTAAATGGCACACCCAGCTGGCTTCCCCAGGCACATCCTATGAGCAGCTTCCTGTGGGTTGCTGTGATCCTGGCATTTTTCCAGCAAGAGAAAGGAAAGAGCTGGAGGGGAGGACACCAAAAAAAGAAAAAAACATTCATTATGTTTAGTGATCTAAACAGCATCACTACAGGCCAAATGCCAGGCAGAACCTGTGGCACTGCACCATTACTGAAATACTCAGAACAAGTTCAAGGCCCCTTTTGAAGGGAGCTGTAGGTCCTGCAGCCCAGGAGGGTCACACAGGTGCTGCCATCCTGCTGCCTGTCCCTTAGCACAGCCAGGCTGAGCCTGCAGCTCCCCTGCATGGCACAGCAGCCTGCTCGTCCTGTTTGACACACTTGGGTCAAGTTTGCATGTGGCATTTTCCTGGGATATTCCCATCAGTCAGCACCCTCGGTTTGGGCTTGGGAGGAGTGGCTTTAATGGGTGTTACAGGCTCATCTTTAACCCCTCCCTCAGTGTTTTGTGTTCTGCCACAGGTCCTTTCACAGGAACCCTGCTGTGCTCAGACTGCACAGAACACTTCTGTTGGCACAGGACTGCCTCTGCCTCTCCCACCAACACTTCACCACGCTCAAGTGAGGCTCTGAGAATTAATTGGCAGGATTGACTCTCAAGGTCTTGCACACCCAAATCAGTGGCCTCTGTGTGAAATAACCCCTGTCACTGTCTGGTGAGTAAGCAGGGAGCAGCTGATCCCCAGGGCCAGAACTGAGGGGTGACGTGATCACAGTGCTCAACCATGCTCAGATGGGAGCACTGGAGTCTGCTCAAAATTAGTCCAGCTAACACAGTGCTGAGCTTGAAATCCTGCCTCTCTGGACTCTACATCAGACTGAGAAAGAGCAGCAGAACTGCTTTCTGACACTATCCAAACAAGTCATTTGAGACAAATCTATCTCTGCTCATTAAGGACAATATGTCCTAAAAGAAAAACAGGTTTGATATAATAGATCCCAATAATTAAATGGGGTTGATATAATGAAAGATTTCACTTAAACTGAATATTTTGGCGAAAAAATATCATTGATCTCATAATCTAAGCTCTGGAATAGGCTTATGGGTTTTGTTTGTGTTGTCATACATGGGTAGACACAGTAAAAATAACAAGAAAAGCACGTCTGGCATTTGCTTGGCTGGCTGGATGTGAAGTGTATGGCTATATTTAAATGCAAGCACATGAACTGCAGTGAGCTAGATAGCCACTGGAAGGGAAAAAAAAGAAGGAAAAAAAAAAAGAAAAGAAAGAGGAAACTGGTTCTTTATAACCATATCTTCATGGTCTATGACTCATTGCTGCCATTCTGAATTTTGCATGGAGTTTGTCAGCATGATGTTGAGCTGCTTCTTTGCCAGTAATTGCCTTCTAAATTGAAAGCATTGCATTTATTTTTGAAAGTATCCTGAGAGGTTTAACAATATTTAGTTTTTGAAGGTTTCATTATACTCTTCCCCAGTGCAAGTGAGCAGCACTGAGCCCTGGGGAGAGAGCAAGTGCAACTCCCACAGTGTTGGACAGAGTTTCATCCACCTCCAGCAAGCCTCCATTTAATCCCAGCCTCCAGAGCTTGGAAAAGGATATTCCCTCATTCCTAATGCTCACTGGAGAGCTGGGATGGCTCAGCTGTGTGCTCTGATTTCAGACTGCTCACTCACCCTGCACACTCCACTCAGAACATCAAGAAATGAACTTGGGATGTCACAACCCCAAATTCTGTGCTGGGAATTTTGGAGCAAAGGAGCATCTATTCCTCTGCTCCTGGGAAAGAGCTGAGCTGTGGGTCAGAGCTGAGGCTGGCAAATGTTTCAGTTTCTGCACTGAGATCTATCTGTACTTGCAGGTATGACTTGAACTTCATTCTGACTCAAGAATTCCCACAAATGGGTTGTTTCAACTCCTTAAGATTCACCCACCAGATTATAAAACCCCTGACTTATTCTAAATTGGCTATAAGTCTCCAAAAAAAAGGCAGGTAAATCAAATAAAACCAGTCTCCTCTTCTAGGAGAATATCATGCTATTCTCCTAGAATATCTCCACATGGGGGACCGATACAATTTTGACAAAGAAATCTTGATGTGCTACTTAACAAACAGTTATCCTAAAGAGTTTTGTGCATAATGTGTGCAAGAAACACTTGAATGGATTATTCTGTTTGTATTTAGAAACATAAGGAGGGCTTAAGAATATTTTTTGCAAAATGAGAATCCAAACAAACGATAGACCAAAAGATGTATCTAGACTTTACTTCCAGAGAAGCTTCTCAGCCAAACAAAAAGTTGGTTTTCTTTCCCTTATCCCTCCACCTCTTATCATGTCTTCAGTGTCATCATGTATTCAAGATTTTCTATTTAGGTAAAAAAAAACAAATAAACAAGTCTTCAAAACCCAGATCTGAATTAATCTACAGGGAAAAACCACACCAGAATATCCAGTCAAGGTATTTTGATAAAGTATTGCTTTTTGTAACAAAGCAAGGACTGAATTTGAAGTAGCAAACTTGCCTTCATGCTTCTGAAATTCCTCTTCTGTGAAATTAATGTCTTTGTGAGACAAGTTTGTCATCAGTTGTTTATTCTCCTCCTGCAGTTGTGCAATTTGGGTAAGAAGATCCTGTGCTTCCCCTCTCCAGACATCCTCCACCAGTTCTAATTCCTATAGGGTAGATCAGGACAACACATTTATATTTTAAAACATGTTAAGAGTCTTTGACTGGACGATTTACAGATCAAACTAGTAACGATCCTACTGATTCTTATGGAAAACAATTAAATGAAGAGTACTTGGAGTTTCTTAAGAAGACAACTGCTTTTCTAATGCCACCACCAGGAAACCAGCCACCACAGTCCCCTTTGCCATATGCTGAATGTAAATACCTGAGGGGATCATTCCTGATGCAAAGCAAGTTACCTAAAGGATGGCTCCTTATGCCTTGCTTTGATGGAAGGACCAGATTAAGGAGGCTGCTGTGTTAGACAAATAATGAAACAGGAGCACCAATTCCCTCCTGCACCCCAGGAAGCTGCAAAGCTGTTAGAAATGCCCCCAAAGCATCCCCCAGTGAGGGCCAGGGAGTCAGGGCTGGACATGCTCGTTCTGACAGAACAGCCTGGTCTAAATCCCTGTTAGGAAACACAAGTGTAAATTGATGAGTGTGTGATGCAGTGCAGCAAAGCCAGAGCTCCTGGTGCACATGGTGAGCACAAGCCCAAAGTGTGCTGCTTCCTATGTAAATTGTTCTCCTGGAATGTCCTGAGTGGTGCCTGTGTTAGTGGCAGCCTGGCCAGTCAAAACAGCTCCCATTTGTCGGGACACTGTGTCAAGAGCAGCTGTCACCAATCCTCAGGAAGGTCAAGTCAGGACAAAAAGTAAAAAATCCTCAAGGAAAACAGTTGTATTTAGAGCCTTGCTTGTTCCAAAAGCTTCTCTGTATATCTCATTTCTGCAGTGGGGGGCATTCCCTGCTCCATTTTCACTTATGTTCTTCAAACAAAAAGCTGCATGCAAATCCCTGGAGCCAGGCTGAGTCACTGCTGACTTTCACATCCATCCACATGCCCCTTTCCTACCTAACAACAAAACACATTCAGACAACAACCCAGCCGAGCACAGCTCGAGGCTAAAATAAGCTCTGCTCAGAGATTAAAGGATAGCTCTCTGCTTTGAATGTATGCTCTGATAATGGGAAATCATCCTCCTGGTGACTTGTGGGTCCAAATGCCATTTTATCCCAGCATTTTTTACTGTATTGCTGCTAAAAGTGTTGCAGAAAACATTATGTGGCAAAGAATAATAAATAGCAAAGGTGTGGTAAGCTACGCAGACTTAACTATTGAAAAGGAAAGAAAATGTCATTAATCACCTATTTTACTTGAAACTCTTTATCTTGAGAGAAAAGTAAATCTGTAATGAAATTGATATTTCCAAAAACCTGGACTGTTTACAGTGATGCTGCCTGTTACAACTCTGTACTAAAATAATGCAGTGACCTATTTCAGCAATAAACCAGCACATGCATCACTTACAAGCATATTGATAAAACCAAAACAGACTGCACACAAACAAACCCCCAAACAATCTAAACTTATATCATTTATATGTGGCTGCACTGTAAATACACAACTATCCTAAGGTTTGCTTAGGCAAACTTTGTCATTTATTGCTATTGAAGAGCCCAGTGAACTGGAGCAGAAATTAACTTCTGAATCCTCGTTAATAAAAGTACCAGACAGGGGAGGCACATCCACGGGCCAGGCAGTGCCAGCCAGCTCAGGAAGCCCCAGGCAGTGGGTGCTGAGCCAGGTCTACACATAAAACAGATTCACACATGAAGTTTAAGTGCTGAAATCTCACAAACTGATGCTTGCAAGGACCACTAAAAGCTTTTCTGGGTGTTTTTTTGAGGCTTCGAGGTCAAAAACTATTTCTTAGTATCTGATTTTTTCTGCTTATCAGCATCTGTCCTGTGAAAGTCTTCAAACCCTCACACTGGAAGAGAGAAGATGTGAGACCACAGTTCTACAGGGACCTGGTGCACTGGGAACAAGCTTGATTAAAAAAAAAAAGAAAAAAAAAAAGGTATGTATCACGCAGTTTATTTTCCTGTTAAAATCTGTTTAGACTGATGTAAATTGTTTAAACACTCCCTGAGCCACTTCATGGCCCTGAGAGAAGCTGACAGAGCAGAGGTGCTTGACTGGCAGGGAGATCAGCTGACACGTTTAGGAAACTTTTTAACACTTGTAAGAACTTCAGAAACATCTACACAGAACAACTTGTACAATGACCCTGGGTCAGTTCAGTTTCCACTTCACTCACAGCCTTTGATAAATACCCAACATATTTGTATGTATTCTCTAGACCTATTTTCATACTCTTGAGGCTTATCAAGAGAGATTTGTACATTAAAGGTCTTTCACCTTCCTTTTCAGAGACATTGCCCTGAGACTTCCTCTGCAAAATGTTGCAGTTTATCCTGGATTTTCCATATGCTAGATGAAAAGTTCTTTAGCTAACTCTTTTTCAAATATAAAACTGGGATTTATCCACTTAAGCCAAATCTTGAAGCTGAGGTCTCTCTTCCAGAATCCCCAGTGTCCTGTTTATCCCGATTCTGTGTGTGATATCAGGAATGAGGCAGCAGTGATGATTTAGCATAGTCATTTACCAGAAGAACCATTTCTTATATCAGTTTTCTGGATGGTTTAAAGAGTGGATCTGCCACTTTTACTGCAGTAACTGGAAGGTGCTGTCCTGCCATAAGGGGGTATGGGAAATGCTCTCCACCTTGGGCTTTGATGGGAGTGAGGTCAGGGAACGCTGTGACCACTCCAGAACAAGCCAAGGCACATCTTGCCATCAGGGGATGGAGCAGCAATCTGGCAGAGTGCTCTTCTTTACTCTTCAGTCTAACTCTGCTCTGAAATCACTTGGTTCTCCATCTCTCTCCTAGGACTTGCCTAACCCGAGGTCTGCGCCAGGAAAACGAGACTGCTAAATCATTCCCAGCTCCAGAGAGGAAAGTGTATTCTTGTCAGTGACCTTTCCTGGCCTAGCAGGAAGCAGCGCTACCCTCTCATCAGGAGAGGGGATGGAGCAGGAGTCCTAATCGGGGACACACGGGGGAAGGAAATGCAGTGACTGGGGAAGGGGTGGAGAAAGGGAAGGAGGGAGGAAACTTCCAGGAGGGAAGGAAAGCAACAAAAAACAACAACACGCCCAAAGCCTCAGCGACGCTCAGGCAGCATCCGCGCAGAGCCCGTGAGCCCGGCCGGGCTGTACCGCACGCGTGCCCCGCCCGCTCCCGCGGCATCCCGGCCCGCACCCGGCGTCGCTCTTTGTTTTCCCGGCGGCGGCGGGGGAAGAACGGCGGCGGGGGGGGGCCGGAGCCCGGCTTCCCCCGGAGCGGCTGCGGCAGGCGGGGACAGCCCTGCCCCGCCGCGTCCCCCCGGTCCCCGCCCGCACCTTCTGGTGCTTCCGCTCCTTCTCGATGCGGTCCATCCTCTCCAGGCGCAGGCGGTCGAGCTCCAGGCGCAGCTCCTCCATCTCGGGGTTGATGTGGTTGCGGCTCACCAGCACCTCCAGAATCTCCAGCACCCGCACCACCTTGGGCATGAGGCGGGCGATGGCCTCGCAGCCGTGCTGATCGATCACCCGCTCAAACTCCTGCCCCACGGCCGAGGCGATGTCGTACACGTCCATGACCGTCAGCTCCGCCGCGTTCTTCTCCAGGGCGGGCGGCACCCCGCCGCCGCCGCCGCCGTCCATGGCTCGCCCGGCCCCGCGGCGCCCGCATAGGCGGCGGCGGGGCGCGCTCCGGGCGGGGCGATTCCCCTGCAGCCGCTCCCGCTGCCCCGCGCCCGGCCCGCGGCCCCCGGCAACTCCCGCGAACTCCGGGCGGCTCGGCCGGGGGTGTTTAAACTTGGCCGGGCGGTGCTGGGGGAGCGGCGGCGGCGGGAGGCGGGCGCGGCGTCCCCGCCACCACCGCCCCGCCGCCCGCGGCCAATGCCCGGCGCAGGGCGGGCCGGGGGCGGCCCCGCGCATGCCCGGGGTCCCCGCACCTCCCGGTTCCCGGGGCCATCCCCGCCGGCCCGAGTCGCGGGTTGCGACTTTGCTTTGCTTACGGTGGGGAGAGGAGCGTCGCCAAGCGCGGGTGCTCTCCGCTCGGTGCTTGTGACGAGCATCAGCGGGAGGGCTCTCGGTACCGACCGCTCCTGCGGCTTCGTCCGGCGAGGAGAGCCGCGAGTTTGAGCGGGCAGAGCTCGGACCCGCCCGTGTTCGGGATTCGGGTCCCACGCAGGCGATGCCCAGCGCTGGAGTGGGCTCGCAGCAGGGACAGAGTGTGTCCGTGGTACCCGACAGCGAGCGCAGTGTCCAGAGCCGCAATATCCGAGAGCAGGATGGACGGGGGTGATGTTCCCCTGCTCCCGAAGAGGACGGAGGCTGACGGATGAATGCAGGCACAGGGAAGGGCGTGAACAAACCCCGCAAGGAGCTCGCACACAGCTCTGTGAGCACATGCTGCACACCAGCATTAGGAGTTTCAGTCTCTTCTCTACAAGAGCGCAGAAAGAATCTTTACTGAGCAAATATTCAGAGGATAGGTGGAGATTTTACACATGCAAGCAGCTTGCTGGCATGGGTCCACTTACAGAGGAATTTAAATGAAATCAGAATGTATTTTTCTAGTCAGGTTTTTCAGTATTTTTGCTTTCAGATGTGGCTGGGAAAGCTTGGGTGTTCTTATTTCCATAGGGTTTAGGAAGAGATGCTCCAGATGAGTCTCTACAGATAAGTTAAATGTGCCTGGAAATAATTTTAGGTCCCAGTCCTGCCATTTGCTGTATGCAGACTAGGAAGAATGCATTTTATTTTGGACAAGATATGATGAATAATACCAAACACTGGAACTAGTCAGGAGAAACAGCAGTGGGGCTGCAAAAGCCAAGCCTAGAATGACTTGACACGTGCTGCATATTTTGAATATAGCATTAATTATTTATTTTTGGCAGACACAAAACGACCGTGCTAGTGAATGGGAGAGATGGACAATGATAAATGTAACACTGTAACACCCAAAACCGCAACACGGTGACACCCAGAACAGCTTTTTCATGCAATTCTGTCACAACCTCGTTCTGCCACGAGGTACAAAATATTGATCTGCCTCATGCACTTCCAGTAGGCGCCAGGGCAGCCAGGAGGGGAACATCAGTCCTCAAATACCTGAGCTTGGCAATTAATTGCCTAAGTTAGAGCAATAACATAGTGAAAATATAGCTACATATTGTTCATGAAACTCATTCCCAAAGTTGAACACCACAGGATATTGCACAAAGTTCCAGGGAGAGCAGGAGGATGAATAATGGTGTAGTCATCCTTTCCTGGCAAAGGTGCTTATGAACACACAAGGAGGAGAAGCAGCCTGAGCAGAATATTTGGAGAACACTCTGCAGTACCTCAGGGGAGCAGCTACACTGTGGAATCATCCTTTTGCCCAAGTTAGAGATGAGAAAAAGAGTTTTTGCCACAGGAATTTGGTATAACATGAGTTCCTGTTGTTCTGTTCAAGTGCGGGTAGAGGAAAAATATAACAGTGTAGGGAGCACGTGTGTAAAGACAAAAACTACAGCTGAGAAAGGTGAAAAAAAAAGCACAATCTGTGGTATGGAAAACAATATGTTCGATGTTGGCCTGATCCAAACTCATGGAAAACGACTTGGCAGGAAAAGTCTGTTATCCAGCCACGTTCGTGACCTGCAGTTCCTCTGGCTCAGCGTGTCTTGCAGAATTTTGTCCACACCCCGTGGCTGCACTGACACAGCAGCTCTGCTGGCTCACACCTGGAGCTGCAGGGGGAGAGCAGAATGTACTGATGGAAATCTGGCATTTGGAGAGATAAACGCGTCTGAGTGTCACCTGGAGTACAAAACCAACTCATAAATATTTCACTGGAAAGACAGATTGTGTGTTAGTCTTTAACTCTTCTCCACATCATTAAAACAGCTAGTCATGAAACAGGATGCCTTGAGCTCAAGCATGAATTCCTGTATTTCTGTTTGGAAGGTTTAATTGAAAATTAGCGCTTAATTATGGTCATTCAAGGAATGGGTTTTTAGACAGTTATTCTCGGGTGAAGCAGAAACTGGACGTGCTATGACTGTGTTTCCTTAAGCGTGAATAGCTCACAAGCTGGGTTTCCTTATTAACGTCTTAAACGTCGGCTACTCCCCAAACCTCTCCCTGGCTGCAGCCAGGTCGGTTTCCCGGTTTTAGCAGCAGCAGCAGCAGCAGCAGCAGCAGCAGACTCGGTCGCGGTGAGAGCCGTGGTGCCGGATCCCTCAGGAGCCGCCGCCCCCCCAATCCCCTCAGCCACCGTTTCCCGCCTCCCGCGCTCTTCCCGCCCCGTTGCCGGACAACGCCGCTCCCCGCGCCTCGCTCCGATTGGCTCTCGCCGCCACAGTCCCGCCTTTTCTCCTCGCTCATTGGCTGCTCCCGCGCTTGGGTCCTGCCTCCCGTGCCGCGCGGGCGCTGCCTCAGCGCTTTGGCGGTGCCGCTGTCCTTTGTCTCCCGGCGGCCGCCGTAGCGCAGCCCGTACGTGGCAGCGGGGCGGCGGTGGCCAATGAGCGGCGGCCCCGTGCGCCGGAAGGGGCGCGGCGCGGGCCGGAAGCGCCGCTCGGTGCTGCCGCCGGTCGCTCCGCCATGTCGCCGGTGCGGGCGGTGCTGGCGCTGGTGGCCGCGCTGGCGGCCCCGGCAGCCGCCTACTTCGTCAGCATCGACGCGCACGCCGAGGAGTGCTTCCTGGAGCGGGTGCCGTCCGGTACCAAGATGGGGCTCATCTTCGAGGTGGCCGAGGGCGGCTTCCTGGACATCGACGTGGAGGTGCGGCGGCGGCGGCGGCGCGGGCCGACCTTGGGGAGCGGGGCCGCCCCGGGGCCGCGCCCCGCGCGCTGCGGCCCCGCTGTGTGTGGGGTCTCTCGGGAGCGAGCGGCGGCACCGGCAGGAGCGGTCAGAGCCGCCCGCGGGGGTTCGGGGTGGTCCGGAGCGGGGCCGGAGCCGCCCATCGGGGCTTGGGGCGGACCCGCCGCGCTGCGGGGGCTCCGTGCGGCGGGAGCGCCCATGGACCGGCGTGGGCGGCCTCGGGCAGGCCCGGCTGGTTGCGCGGGGTGTCACCCCTGCCACTGGTGCACGAGGCTGTGCCGCTCCATCTGTCCACTCTTCCCTTGGGATGTTCAGCCTCATCCCGCTCCGTTGCAGCCTCGTCACAGTGAATTATTTGGCGGGAGGAATGACCGGGGTTGCTGTTTGGAATCATGTGCTGCTTGTTGATGAGATTCCCCTTGAATCCAAAGGTGTTGTCTTTAATCTGGGTGGCTGGCATCAGGGAAGTTTTGAGCGAATACTCATCTTCAAAGAGGACTCAAATCAGGACAATACTGAGTATGAATTGCCTTCATCGTGTCATAGAGCAGAGAGGTTTTAGTTTGGGATATCGCAGATGTGGGAGTTGTTGCTGAGAGTCTTGTAACAGTTGAAAATGACGCATGGCTGTGACACAGAACAGGGTCTGGAAGCTGTGAGATCCCCTGCACGTGTCGCTAGTGGAACTCAGCAGCAGTTTGGCCAGGTGGGATGGGAATTCAGGATCACAATGACCCTGAGAGCTCAAATTTAGGTCTTCAGTCCATTTGAAATGGTAACTGTAACAGTGCCCGACTGTGTGTCTAAAGTCGATTTGAGAATGTCTTTTTTTCCTTTTTGTTTTTCTTCATACATCAGAGATAAGGTTTCCCCTACAGTTGTTAATTTGACAAACAGCCAGGGTTTGTGGTTTGCTTGTTCTTGACTGCTTATCTCGACCACAGGAGGCCAGGGAGAGAGGCTTTTGTATGACTTTCTTTACCAAGAAGTTTGTGGGGTTTTAAAAAAGAGATTTCTGTACAGGGAACTGCACCAGTGAGTTGTGGGAGGGGAAGATTGAAGAGTGCCAAAGCAGCCAGATTACAGATGGTGTTGGTGCCTGTGACTGGCTGGCTGCAGAGCGTGCTGGCAGTGCTGTGCTGCTGCATTGGAAACCTCTGTGTATGAAATAAAAACGTGTGATCCTCTGTTTTCCCCACACAGATTACAGGGCCCGATAATAAAGGGATTTATAAAGGAGATCGAGAGTCCAGTGGAAAATACACCTTTGCTGCCCACATGGATGGAACTTACAAGTTTTGCTTTAGCAACAGGATGTCCACCATGACTCCCAAGATAGTGATGTTCACTATCGATATCGGGGAAGCTCCCAAGGGGCAAGACATGGAGACAGAAGGTGAGGAAGAGTCCTGGAAGGAAATCGGCTCCAGCTCGGGAGCTTTTCCCTTCTTGCATGACTTGTGAACTTGAGTAGGGCTCTCAGGATTCCCGTTCCTTCAGGTGTAATTAGCTGTTCTCTTGCACAGCTAAAGTGGATGTTTTTAGATCTGGTGCCACAGTTTGAGGCAGAATCACCAGAGGATCCCTCGGCCATGTGCAGACACTAATGCTTCCATCCTTTAGCCCTCCATCAGTGCCATCCTCTGATTCCTGTAGGCTCAGCAGTGTATAGCCTTAGTTGATAAATGTGCTAATATAAAACTTTTCCTGTAGCTGTGTAAATGACTGTTATATCTGCAGCCTTTTGTCCTGTACCTGTGTTCATCTCTCACACTTTCCTCTAGGTGGTGGAGATACCTGGGATGGTATGTGGACTGATTTTTGAAAGCTCCTTAGCATCTTGTCTC